TTTTTTTTCCTTCTTGAAAGGGTTATATTAGACTAGAATTGAACTGAACAACAAACAATATATATAATTATAGATTTCTTTTCATGCAAAAAAAGAAAATGCTAACTAAAAGAGAGCAGGTTCGCTACTCTTAGCAATAAAAAACATGATGGAAGAATGGAATAGATATCATACATGACCACAAGTAAATAGTTCACTAAATCAATAAATCAGTCAATCGATAAGTTGCTAACTTATCGATCATCAGTAGCTGAAGAGTGCATTGAGACAAGAATTTACGACTTTGCACAATTAAAAATAGCGCTAGCATATTACATCTGATTTGTATAATGGTTATTGTTAAGCTTCACTGGAAGCGCTATATGAAATTCTTATCTTTATGAATAAATTACGCCCCGAAACTCATGAGCCGTTCAAATTTAAGCAGGCTAATATATACACGTTTCTTTCCATCGGTTCACAGAGTTGAATAAATGAAATAGAATGCATAGAATGTGCTGTGCTCATAAGTGCTCCCAATGTTCTTTAAATTATGATAACTAATTTAAAAAATTATTATTATTATTTTATGAGTATTAAAATATTTTTTAACAATAAATATTTGAATATTCATAAAATTAATTATTTATCATAATTTAAAGAACATTGGGAGCACTTGTGAGCACAGCACATTCAAATTACAACGTACGCGGTTGGTTCTAGTTTTGGTCTTCCTGTCTAAAACTGTCTACGAAAAAATCCTTGAGAATGAGGAAAGTAAGCTGATGGCATTATTCACTCTAAATTATATTGTGACAAGTTATCTTTAAAGTGGAAGAACGTTCATAACACAATAACTCCTAGAGAGAAGTACACTGATCTGACCCTGAAATCAATAGTGATGTTCAGAAGTCTCCTCCCTGGTAGAGTAAGAATAGCTTTCACGTAAACAAACCACAACTGCCATATAACATGAAAAACATAGAGCCATATGCATGCATGATAGGTGTTTTGACATTTATCAGGAAAGTGAGTATTTCACAGGTGACACAGTGAAAATTATATGAAAATTAGTATTCCTCACTGAACATGCAACTGCGTCTGGCCGTCTGTTTTTTACGTCATTTGGCACGCCAGTTGAGATTTGTCATCCATTTTACATTTGATCGATCTTGACTTTATTAGCAGACATTATTTCATGATTTCCTATTGCTGTGTAATTGACTTATTTTATTGTATAAGAATTGAGTAGTGCTCTATTCAGTTGTTTGATTGAAAATTCTTTATATAAGTTCATAGACTAATATTCATTTGGATCTCAAATTTTATTTATCGCGCAGTTATTCTCGAGTTCGCAGCATCGCTAATAAAATGCTTACCCAGTCCATAATTAATTTTTCGTCGGAAGTACTCAGTTCATTGAAAATGCCTTCTTCAAGCAAATACACGAAAAGTAATATGGGTCGTGATCGAAGTCGAAGTGAAAGCTCCAGTAAAAGCCGTAGTCATAGTAGAAGTCACAGTAGTGGTCGTCGTGGACGTAGCCGAAGCCGACGGCGTGAACGTTCGAGGAGTCGAAGTCATCATCGTGATCGTCGTAGGTCTGAATTTCAAACCTACATCAGTCTAATCCTTTTTGTTTATGTTTCAAAAAGCACTTGTGTTATTTAAACAGAACCTTATTGGCGTATTTCAATATAAATTGAAATTACTTTCAAAATACTTGTTAGTACTGCGTTTTTGTGCGGGTAGTTCATCTTAATGACGTGTAATCATCTTTAAAATAATAATTTTGTCGACACCTTCATTGTTTTAGTAGACTTAAATAAAGCAAGCAAAATTAGTTTCTAGTTTTATGCTTCAGAATGTGAACTTTAGATCACTGATTGATTTAAACTATTTTACTGATTCCGTTTTACATTTGTTCCATCTTACCATGCTAGTCTTCACCACTATTATTATGTGCTTGTTTATTTTAGTAGGAGTCATTCAAGTGATCGAGAAACATCAGATTTGCTGAAACTTTGTTGGAAACCGCTGAAAGAGGATTCAAGAAATTTTGATGCTTGGACTCATCTTTTACAATATGTTGAACAGCTCGTTAGTCACTGTCTTATTCTTATTTTTTACTCTTGCTAAAAGTAAATCTTAGTATTAATTCATTCATCATAAGTTTTTCGGATATAAGACTTCAGCAGCAGAAGTGTAGAATTTTTCTATAAAATGTTATCAGTAAGTATTTAAAAATTTTGAAGCTTCCGTCACCTTTCGTGTCTTGATGTGTAAATGTTTTATTTGTGATGATTATACATCACTTTCAAGTTTTTGAACCCAGCAGTCAAATGTACTGGATTACTTTTCCAGGCTAAGGTATGGAAAAGTATGATCTGTCTTTTCAGGATGAAACTAAAGCAGCTCGTGAAGCATATGATGACTTTTTTAAAAGATATCCTTACTGCTACGGTTACTGGCGAAAGTATGCTGAATTTGAACGTAGGCATAAACATTACGATCGTTGTATTGAAGTAATAATTAAATTTTGACTTTTGAAACTTTTATGTATTGTTTTTGTTGAAAATATTCATTTTGTCAGATCTAACTTGTCTGTTAGAGTTTTTCACGTACTGCAACTTTTTCATTGTATTTTTCGATCTGTCAATATCAATAAAACTGTAGTAATCATGTCTTCTAGTTTATAGTTTGAAAAAACATCTGGTTGACTCGAAAATTAAAAAGGTGTTAATAAATAATTGCTCAGGTGTATGAACGCGGAATTATGGGTGTACCGTTAAGTGTTGATCTATGGCTTCATTTTATTGCTTTCATTAAAGAAGTTGTGCAACGTCAAGAAAATGCAATTCAGAAGATCAGATTGTAAGTTGCACCGATTGTTTCAGTGAGTTTAGCAAAAGATAACAAGAAATTCAAGTTTAATATTTGGTAAATTGCAGTAATGAAGTGCTTATAGAGTTTATGACCGTGCAATTGAAGCTTGTGGTATGGAATTTCGTTCAGACAAGTTATGGGAGGAATATATTAACTGGGAATTAAGGAATGGGGAGACTGTTCGTGCTGGAGCGTTATTTGACCAGATACTAAGCATACCTACGCTGTTGTATAGTAACCATTTTGAAAAGTAAATTTAATGTAATTTTGGAACTGTCATAGCCTCCGATCATGTTTTGATTTCAAATAAAATTTTAATTTGAACTAGTGGAGAGGAACTTTCATCACTTGTTTATTTGTTTCATTTCTTGAATTGCCTGAGTGTTCTATAATTACTTTCCTTTCCTGCGCTTGAATTTCTTCACTTCTGTTTTGAATTAGAGGAAAAATTTCGTTTTTTCTAATTTCTTGTCATCACCATCACTGATATTTTATTTACAGATACAAGGCATTTGTGAATTCAAATGAACCGGATAGGGTTGTAAATCAGGATGAATACAATGAAATTTTCGTCAAAGTGAGTTGGAGACTTAATTTTTGAGGTAATTTGTTTCATCTTAAACTAATTCAGTTGAAGGAAAAATTCTTTATAGGTCGAGAAAGATCTGCACAATGTAGTTAATGGCGAATTGTTTTTGCTCGAAGACTATACTGACGATTCTCCTCCGGACTATATTCCAGAAAATGGAGAGGAACCACCAAAAAAAGTTTTAACAAGACGAAAGGTTCATTTTCTATTTCATCTAGGGATAAATCAAATCAGCTTCCAAAATAAATATTTCATATTTCGTGATAAAATTTTTATTTAAGCATTGTGAAGAAGCGTTGCGTGCGCTGAGATTAGAAATATTAGAACGTCGAAACAAAAAGTATTTAGACAATGAACAAGAAGTAAGTCGACGTTGGACTTTCGAAGAAAATGTACGTTTACTTTGTATACTGTTTATTTCGTAATTTGACCTTCATTTTATAATCACTGTACTCATAAAAGTAGTCAGACCACGTTTGCTGCAGATTAAACGTCCCTACTTTCACGTAAAACCATTAGAACGCGCTCAGTTACGTAATTGGCGTGCTTACCTCGATTTTGAAATTGAGTGTGGTGATGTCGCGCGCATCATTATTCTTTTCGAGAGATGTCTTATTGCTTGTGCTCTGTATGAGGAAATGTGGATTAAGGTGAATTTTATAACTTTATTTATTATACATTAGAATATAATTTTGCATGGTGCATCTAACATTTGTTAAAGATATCCTTTCTAATTCCAATAGTTTTTTGTTCCGAAATCAGCATAAACGATTAAGCATTTAAATCTTTGTAAATGTAGGATGAATTTTAAATGTAATATTAAAAATTTTAGAAATAACTAAGTTTTCTTAGATTAGAGCTGCTTTAAAGTTTGATTTAATCATAGTATGCGCGTTACTTGGAAAGTATTGGTGAATCTAGTCGAGCTCGCAATGTTTTCCGTCGTGCAGTCGAAGTTCATTTGCCTCGCAAACCAAATATTCATCTTGCATATAGCGCCTTCGAAGAAAAAAATGGTAATGAACACAGCGTTTGTGATATTTGTGATATAATAATCTCTAATCTATTTTTCCGTTTATACATTCATGTGGTTAAGTTTAATGATGAGCTAAAGTATTATCACTCGTCAGAAGATAACATTCACGCATGGTGCGTGCGGCAGTCTTATGGCAAGTATGGTTTTTGAAAGATAATTTAGGCAGAAGATTTTAAGACCTTTTAAAATACACTCAGACACAGAGTTCACTCAGAAGAGTTTCATACAGTATAGGATAATGGATCTGCCGTCGAGCTTCAATTAATCCAACTGCATGCTTCATATTTCACCAATTTCGTTTGGAAGATTTCTCCATAATTACTTCGAACATTTCGAATGTTTGTGCACAGCCTCAAGTTTTTAAAGTGGGTTCACAATACTCAGAGAAGTGCAATATGCACTTTTTTTTTCTGCAATGGACATCTATAGAAAAATAGGAATTTATTTTGTCAGGGATTTTGATTCGAATTTCCTGTGTATATAAAAAATTTCGTGAAAATGTAGTCCTTAGTCTTTTCTTGAAATGATGTTAAAATTACCCTCTTTACTTCTAACGATACTTAAGATTTAGCATATGTCTCTAGATTTTGAGCTGAGCCAAAAAGTTAGTTGAGTTGAATAAACGGGAATCATACTGTAGTAAAGTTAGATTAAGTTTACTCTTTCTGATGTAAAAATGCATTTGTTCTGATCAGTATAGGTTGGGTCACGTTTTAAAAGCTTCAACTTTTTGAACATTTCGGTTCCTGAAGGCTTATAGTGGTGTTGTAATTAGATGTTTCCAAGTTCTTTACTTAAGAATCGATAAGATTATTCACGAATTGGATTTATTATACATTATACATTGTATATTTCCCTATAACATTCAGTGTCGGCGTGTCTTTCAAGGTTGTAAAATTTAACTTGAAAAATGTGCTGTTGTCATTACATCCTCACATAATTTTCGAGCTAAATATTTTGGAATGAATTTTCAGTTATCTTTTTATTAATGAGACTTTCATCTAAGTACTGTAGAGATAAATATGAAAACTAACCTCGTAAGGGCTTTCTTTTTTCAACTGCAAATCTGACACATGCTTAGTAAGATCATTTCGTATCGTTATTTACAGTTATCAAAATAAGGGAGTTACTCTTATATTATTGAAAAGTAGCGTGACTGTATTACTCTACACTCTAGTAATAAAAAATTGTAATATAAGAACAAGAAGCTAATATGGTGAAGATTATGGTAAATTTGATGGAATTTCAAGTACTAATTTAACTGTTTTACTCGGGGAATTAGACTTGGTTCTGTAGAAGCATAAAAAATGATAAAACTGGCGCATCGCTGCATCAAATGTTTGTAGACTATATACATGTACTTGAATCTGTAACTTCGCGCATTTTTCAAGGATTGTCCTTATTCAGTGTTGCTCTTGTTTACTCAGCTAGGGAAGTAGTTTTTTTTTTAAATAGAAAAGAATAGAGCTAAATAATCTTTAGTTCTATTTACTGTTCCTGAATTTCCTATGGAATGAGCGTGAACGTTGCAGATGAGTTAGGCAGTTTTTTTTGTATTTGATTATTAACGGTTTGAGTAAAATAGGGGGTGGAAACAATAATTTGGGTACTAAAAAAAGGTCTCAAAATACTTGAACGCTCATACAACTCTTATTTATTAATATCACTATAAAATTGTGTCAGGCAGCAGATGGTATCTTTGAAATATATTTACTTTTACATTTTAATATATTATCATATACTTGCAGGTGATTTCGAAAAAGCAAATTCAATCTTGGCAAGTTTTGATCATCGTTATCCTGGGTATGCCGTTATTGCATTACGTCGTATTGGTATTGAGCGCCGTTTTGCCATTAAACAAGCTGGGGATAGGTATGGTGTTTAATACTAAATGATTTATTCGTAACTTGGTTCTAAACTGTCGAAATATGAGAAGAAACTTAGTTCATAATAGATAATTTGCAGGGATTCACCGGACTATTCCTCGGTAATATCACGGTTTGAACGCCTCATTCACGATTCACGCACGCCACGTAAACTTTCGGCATTTTATGCTCAGAAATTGGCTCGCTTTCATTCTAAGACAAGGAATGATCGTAAATTAGCTGAAAAAATTATTAGAGATGCAATAAATCGTGATAAAGTATGGTCTTTTTTCAAATAAGTGCATTATGCGTACATTATTGTTCTCTCTCATTTCCTAAACGTGATATGTGCAAAGTAATATTGTATGCTGAAACAAATAAAATTTTGTAAATACGGGAGCTAATATAATTGTTTTTTTGTTCGTGGTATTTGTTTAATTTTACTTTAAAATATTTAAAACTCCCTAAATATTATTCCAGAGCAATTCACAGTTGTATTTGGCATTGGTCGATTTGGCTTATACAGCACCTTTATTCAATGAACGAAGTGTGATCGAAACGTTGAATGAAGTTCTTAGTAGTGAGCATCTTTCCGATGAAAATAAATTGCGTTTTTCTCAGAGGAAGTTGGACTTTCTGGAAGATCTAGGAACCGATGTGGAAGCGTAACTGCTAATTATTCTAAAACTTATTTATAACTTTAAATAGATTCAAAATTATATAATTTACCGTAGTGAAGAAAAAACTTTATAGATTGTTCAAGAATATGTTTAATGAAGGAACTTCATCGAATATATCTTGGACTTTTAGAAGTTGAATTGTACATAGTAGTTTCTGGTTTTTAATTTCTTTTATTGTCAGTTTCAACTGTTCTGGATTTCAAGCTAGTTTTAATTCACTGACATAGTTGTCTATTTATTTACTATTATTTCAAATTTACCTTCACGCAATATTTTGCGAAAATTTGTTACTAACATAACAGATTTGATTATTTAAAGGTTTTATGCATGAAACGTCATCTTAGTGATAATAAAAAAATTGTTTGCGTAAGAAAGATAAAATATGTTTGTGAACTTTTGATAAGGTTTTTTTATTTGTATGCGAGAAAACCCGGTTATAAAGTCATGTTTTCAGCCTCCAAAGACATCTTGAATATCATACTGAGCTTCAAAAAAAAATCGAGAGCACCGCTACAACAAACAAAAGAGTTGCTGATGGAGGAATTATTGGGTAAATGCTTTTTTATATTCGAGAATACACTTCTTGAGATGAGTTAATCGTTTCATTTTCAAAATATTATTTTATATATATTTAATATCACATGGAGGTTAATCTTCTTTTCCGCTTTATTGATTCAGGCGCTGGATCGTATCCTGGTACTCTGTCTGTACTTGTCTCGCACTCAGATTTCCGTGCTGACAATCTCTGTTGCTTTACCTTCATGGAATCTATAATGGTGATGGAATGAAATGCTTTCGAGCGTCTTTTTCAACACTTTCGTTTGGATAAATGTTCGACGTGATCTGATGTACTGATATTCTTCGCGTGCCGTTTATGAAAGTTCATTACTATCCTATCCCGAGTCTTTTCATCCTGCATTTCATCTTTACCCTGAGTTTATTACCCAGTAGATCATATTTTCACTGTTTTTCGGTCGATTGCTGTCAACCTGTCCTGACTAATGATGCCAACCTCTATCACAGTTACTTCATGTTGCTTCTTATCGTGAATTATGATATCTTGTCGATCTGCACTTATCTTTATAGCTTCCCTTACTCGCAGATCGATTTTGATCTCTGCGTTCTCATTCACGACGACCTCCTGAATAGAAAGGCTTTGCATGCGTGGGAATGCTTTCAGATCATACTTTGCAGAGTCCAAATGAATGCATCTCATTGTATCTTCTAGTATAGTCGTGATATAACATTTTTTCGCACTGCGTTGCTAGATGGTCGACCGTCTTCACGCTTTCCTACGATGTTGGCACATACCTTTTTCAGCTCCAAACATATTTCTATCTTGGAGGTAACAGTAACGTGCTTCATCTTGCGGGGTAGTGTTTCTGTATCGTTGCCACATTGATGAATCAGCTATTTATGGTATATAAAAATATGTTAATTATATGAATTTTGATTTCTAGAGATCAACAAGATAAGAAACTCCGTACAAATGTATGCTATCCTGCCACTTATTCTCACCCGCAACAGCAGTATTACGCAGCTGTACCTAGCAATGATAACGGTAAATTTTGAGAATCAAAATGGTAGGATTGTTTTTATTTTCAGAATGATGAGCAAATTATGAACTTATATAAAGTCTGTATGCTTTGATTGATGAAATATCTTAAATTTCATAAATATTTGTATATACTTTGAAGGGTTAACGCCAATGGCGAGTTTTGGAGGAACTATTCAGGCATCACCTACAGTGAGTCAACAACAATTACCTAATGCAACCCAGTACTATTTTCCTCCTCAACAACAAGTTGGAGGAGTCCAATCATTACCCGTTTTATCAACAATTCAACCTAATTATGTGCAGCGTTAAATAAAGTTTTGTTTTCACATAGACGTCATCATTATCATCATAGTTTCCCTCATGGAGCTGTCTGTAAATCTCAAATATTTTTAAGTCTTTAATGAACAGAATCATTATTATTTCGTTTATTGCATTAGTAATTTGTCACATAGATAGATTTTTTCAGATTTCATTCCATGAGTTTACGATACCAATTCAAAAGTCGTTTTATGATGTTTTATTCATTTCTCTTTTGCAGTGATTTGCAAAAGCTGTTTTAATGTATTTGTTTCAGAATGGTTAATTTTGAATTAATTGGTTAGTAATGCTATCATTGGCAATATTGTTGGATGTATTTGAATATATATTGTCTTATATTTTAGATCAGTATTTATCCAAGTTTATTAGCATGATTATTGATGATCACAAATAATTATAATCAGGATAAAGACTTAACGTGGAAATGTTTGTTCTTTGGTTATACTGGCTTGTAGTAGTTATATAGTATTTTTTTTAATTTTAAAGATGAGATATATTAAAGATGAATTGATAAACGAAGTAGATTTTTGAAATGAAATATATTTTGTGAATATGGAAAAATCTTTGAAGTTGTGATTCCAAAGACGATGAACAGTTTCTTGCACATGGCGTATAAAAACGTGAGATTCATGTTTCTTGTTTAATTATGACGAAATAATCAGTCGAAATCGAGAATTCTTTTTTTCTTTGCTACTATTCTTTTTTGGTACATATATGTTTTTGCTAACTTTGAAAAGATTTTGTAACAGTTACAATTTAGTCTTTTAATTCATTGTCTGAGTTTTATGCAAATCAGGAACTCATCATATGATAACATTTTTGCATATGGTAGAGTCTTAGCATTGGGATTTTGTTACAGATTAATGTAGTGCTATATTTGCACTAAGTACTCATTGCTGTATGGCAATATTGCTTGTGCTTATAGCATTTATTAGTTAATTTTTTGTATGTAGATTGGTTGGTTGGCTGTGGTTTATAGTTTAATAATTTTGCAATTCTTCCTTACAAAGATTTGTGCTACAAAAGTAATGTATTGAACTAAGTTTTTTATCTATTTAATTAAAGTTGCAGAAAGATAAAACTAGCTGTAGTGAATAGTTTTTCATTGTG